TCTACTTAGACGACATTATTATTTTTTCCACTTCATTGGAGGAACACATTTTGTCGCTACAAAAGGTATTTAAGAAGCTTAGAGAAGCTAACTTAAAACTACAGTTGGATAAATGCGAGTTTATGAGAAAAGAAACTGAATTTCTCGGTCACATCATCACAACTGAGGGTATAAAACCAAATCCCAACAAGATACAAGCAATTGTCAAATTCCCAATTCCAAAAACCCCAAAAGAAATTAAATCATTTCTAGGATTATGTGGTTTCTATAGGAAATTTATACCAAATTTCGCTAATATAGTAAAACCATTAACACTTAAATTAAAAAAGGGAGCAAAAATCAATATAAAAGACAGAGACTACGAACTAGCGTTTGAAAAGCTAAAAGTACTCATAACATCCGACCCAATTTTAATATACCCTAACTTCGAAAAACCATTTTCATTAACTACAGACGCAAGTAATATGGCAATAGGGGCCGTCCTTTCGCAAGAGCATAAGCCTATATGCTATGCAAGTAGAACTCTCAACGAGCATGAGTTAAATTATTCAACGATTGAAAAAGAATTATTAGCAATCGTTTGGGCCACTAAATACTTTAGGTCCTATCTTTTTGGTCGACAATTTCAAATCCTTAGTGATCACAGACCACTCGTCTGGTTAAATAATATGAAAGAACCTAACATGAAATTACAAAGGTGGAAGATCAAGCTAAATGAGTTTGATTTCCAAATTAAATACGTCCCAGGAAAAGAAAATTATGTGGCAGATGCTCTGTCCAGAATTCAATTAAACGAAAACTTCTTAGGCGAAGATACAATTAGCACAAGAGCAACAATACATAGTGCTCAAGAAGACAACAGTAACCATTTACAAATCACAGAAAGACCACTTAATTATTATAATCGACAAATAGAATTTGAAAAAGGAACCGAGAACGAAACAAAAGTTACGAATTACTTTCACAAAACCAACATAAAAATTACGTACAAAGACATGACTAATACGCATGCCAAAGAATTAATAAAAGAATACTTATGCACAAAGAAAAGTGTGCTATACTTCCACAACGAAGCAGATTTTCCAATTTTTCAAGAAGCCTACTTAGAAATAATAAGTCCGAATAATTCAACAAAGGCAATGAAAACTAGTACAAAATTAATAGACCTTCAAACATACGCAGAATTCAAAGAATTAATATTAAAAAAGCACAAAGAATTATTACACCCAGGAATTGAAAAAACTATCAATTGGTTCAAAGAAACCCACTATTTCCCAGATTATCAAAATTTAATTCAAAATCTAATAAATGAATGTGAGATTTGCAACATCGCAAAAACAGAACACAGAGATACAAAATTAACTTTCGAAATAACTCCGGAAATCGCTAATATCCGAGAAAAATATGTAATGGATTTTTACATAGTAGGAGATAAACAATTTTTATCTTGCATTGATATCTATTCAAAATTTGCATCATTAATAGAAATAAAAAGTAGAGACTGGCTAGAAACCAAACGAGCTATATTACAAGTGTTCAACCAAATGGGTAAACCCATCGAAATAAAGGCAGACAAAGACTCAGCTTTTATGTGTACAGCTTTACAATTATGGCTAAAATCAGAAGCAGTAAATATTAATATAACCACTAGTAAAAATGGTATATCCGACGTAGAACGATTTCATAAGACAGTTAACGAAAAACTAAGAATCATTAACAGCGACTCAGACGTCGAAAATAAACTTACAAAATTTGAAACTATACTCTACACGTACAATCATAAAACAAAGCACAAAACGACTAACAGAACACCAGCGGACATATTCATATATGCAGGTACACCAGAGTATGACACTCAAGCTAATAAAGAAAAACTAATAAATAACCTCAACAAAAAACGAACAAATTATGAAATTGACACTAGATACAAACACTCACCGTTAGTTAAATCAAAGACGACAACCCCGTTCAAGAAAACAGGAGAACTAAGACAAATCGACGACAAACATTTTGAGGAAACTAACAGAGGCAGGAAAATAACACATTACAAAACCAAATTCAAAAAGAAAAAGAAGACTAATCAAAGCAAATATAACAATTACAGGTCAACAACAGACAGCGATCAAAACATACAAGCACCAGCTTAAATTAATTATTATAATATTACTATCAATAACTGTAAACCATATAAATGCACAGAGTATTGAAATTAATCCTATCAAAGCCCATAACGGATATCTCATATTTAAAACAGGAACCATAGACATTCCGACAGATTACGAATTCCACTGTTTAACGGTTAATATAACAAAAACCGAAGAAACTTTTAACAATTTAATTGAACAAAGTAAAGAATTCAATAACCTTATACAAATCGAATACCTAGTAGAGAAATTAAACAGAGAAATAAACGGCTTAAAAATAGCCAAACGTAGCAAAAGAGGTTTAGTTAACATAGTAGGAACAGCATATAAATACTTATTTGGAACATTAAATCAAGAAGACAAAGCAGAAATTGAACAAAAAATAAGCAACTTAGCAGAAAACAGCGTTCAGGTTAACGAATTAAATTACATAATAGAAGCTATAAACAAAGGAATAGAAATCATGAACGAACTAGATCAAGAGAAACAAAAAGGAAAGAAATTAGATATCCTTATATTTAACTTACAACACTTTACAGAATATATAGAAGACATTGAGATGGGAATGCAGCTCACAAGATTAGGAATTTTTAACCCAAAATTACTAAAACATGACTATTTGTTGCATGTTAATTCTGAGAAATTGTTGAATACAAAAACTTCCACTTGGTTTAAATCAGATACAAACGAAATACTGATAATATCCCATATTCCTCGAGAAATAATAAAAAGCCCGGTATTCGAAATAATTCCATACCCGGATGAAAATAATAATATTTTGACAGAAATAGCTCATGAAAAATATTTTACCCAAGATAAAAAAGTTTATAGCAGAGAAACAAAAAAATTAATTAATAATGAATGTTTAACAGGAATTTTAAACCAAATAACATCAGAATGTAGTTATACTAAAATTTTGCAAAATTTTCAAATCAACTACATAGAACCAAATATAATTTTAACTTGGAATTTACCAAAAACTATATTAAACCATAATTGTATAAATAACGAAATAACAATAGAAGGAAACAATATAATAAAAATCTTTAATTGTTCATTGCAAATTAATGAAATTTCAATTTCAAACAATATGTTAGATTATACTCAAAGCATTTACGTAAGCAATGATGTTATAAAATTAGAACCACTTTCGTTTGTACAAACGAAACAAATTATAAATGCACATACAAAATTTAACAATGTATTCCAGATAATTACAATAACCATATTTGTAATCATATTAATAAGTTTAACACTGTATTTGACATATAAGTTCAAAAGCATACCTAAGAAATTAATTATAAAATATAAAAAACCCAAAGTAGAAGAAACACCTACAATAATAGGAGATATACCAATTCTAAAAGAAGAAAATGTTACACTATATCCAAACTTAAACACCTGAGGACAGGCACTTTTCTAATGGTTGGGGGAGTGACATATCCATAGTCGCACCCACCCTTTAACATAACTTAGCACATAAGCATAAGCACAATTATAAACATTTCTAATATTGTAAACAAAGAGCCTGGTGATAACATCGACATTGGTCAAGATCAAACTGTCCCCCTTTGGTAGACATAAACAATTCACCCTAAATATCACGCCACTGTCAATGTTCCCATCAGAGTACTATCCCACGCATAATTGCTGACGCAGCTCAAACTTCACTCAATTTTGACTCAAACTCTCTCAAAGCGAAGTTTGCTAAGCGACCGCAACAGTTAGATAAATCAGTTCATATTCGGGAAGCAAATCTGAATGTACTCAACAAAAGTAGCCGTTAAGTGAAAATAATAAATTGAAATATATTTTTTTATAGTAACCTAACGTGTAAAACTTAATTATATATATGTATATATGACAGATTGTTAAACAACAGTAAAACGTTGGATTTATTCTTTTTAAAAGCGATGACTTTTCAAAAAGAACTGAAATCATTAGCCGGCGTAAATCAACGCTGTTGTTGCCGTCTTATCAATCAGGCAGACTGGCTGACAACAAAGACTAATGATAGCAGCACAGTGTGGTCTGTTCACAGAACAGGGCGTGGCATTCGCTAAGGCGCTGTCACTTATCAGTCGACCGAGAAAAAAGAGCCCAGTAAAAAAAGCAGGGCACAGCGACGATTTCCCAGTTAAGTGGAACGACTGGAATTGGACAGAGCTATAAAGTTTTCGTTTCAATTTTATCGCATTGTTATGAAGTACAAAGTGCAAAAATATAAAGTAAGGGGTGCAGCAAAAAGCAATCTTAATCTGCACTATATCTCTGATATATAGCTTGGGACGTGGATATATAACTTGTAGATTAAGCAGCTCCAGCGCCAGACACTAATAACTGTTTCAATGTGTTCCAATTCCACTTGTTTCTACGTTCAAAAACATTTTCAAAAGAATTGACACTCAAACATTATCAATATATCAATATATCCCCCCCTTTGAACCCAAACCATGAATTAACTTCCTTAAAGACACACTTACGTGCGTGGCGTGTGTATGTGTGTGTGCGTGTGTGTGTGTGTGTGTGTGTGTGCAGCTTACCCGACAACATTATAAGTTAGGTTAGGTACACGTGATATTCGAATCATCAACACTTACCTGAAAAGAGAAAGATAGAGAGAGAGAGAGAGAGAGAGAGAGAGAGAGATAGAGAGGGAGAGAGAAAGAGAGAGGGATGATTAGCATAACAAGTTTGATCAATTCGTAGACAAAATCAATAATTAAAAGTGTGGGGCATTTGAAACGAAGCAAACTCTTGGAATATACATTAAAGTGAATCGTGATCACAAATTGATGCGACAGTTGAAACACAAACGACAAGCATGATTATTTTTAGTTGATGATTATTAATTACCTAGTATATGCTTAAACTTTTGCACCACTTTGGTCCAACTAACGCAGGATTGTGTTCTAGCCAGTTTTGCAGTCTTTACACTCTCGAGACTGTCGTTGCCAACATGCAGTGCAGCCTCCGCCTCGGCGCCCGTCTCAATTTCATCATACTCATCATCAACGTAGCCAGCTGCATCATCGGCTGCGGCATTGCGATCATCTGAGTGACGGCGTACTGGGACAGGTTTTAGATCGGGAATAGCATCGTAATGATTATCATGACTATGACTGCGGACGCGCATCTTAACCAGATCTGCATCGGGATCATCATCGTCATCAACGGCAACGGCATTTGGATGCGGATCCGATATCTGTTTGTCAATCGTTAAACGATTTCTATCACAGTGGTTGGGTTGGTCTTTGGTCTCAAGGCCGCTGGCCGCCAGATTGGAGGCCACCGTTGTGTTGCGCTTCTTGCGCTGCTCCTCGCGCTCCCGTTTGAGCAGCGCCTTTTGCTGTTTGGCCTTGCGCTGTTTCTGTTTGCGTGCAAACTTTTCGCGCAGCTTTGGACTGCCAAACTCGTCCAGATAGTACATGGTGTCCTGCAGGCCATCCTTGCGATTGATCAGCTTGGCATCAATATGCGGATCCTCGTTGATCTTTAGAAGCGGAAAAAATATGCGACCATCTGTGCCCAAACTGCGTGCATCACGTCTTTTTGCCGCCGCAGCAGCAACTGTTAATGGCGCCAACTCTAAGGGCAGCTCCTCCTCTTGCTTCACTACCGTCGCAGCCGCAGGCGTTGCCTTTAATCTTTGCACATGCTCGTGCTTGCCAATGTTAATAATGATGCCCGACTGTGTATCATCTTCGTCCACATCCACATCGACATCGACATCGACATCCACATCCACATCGACATCGACAGCAACGCCATCATCCTCATCCTCTTCCTCCTCCAGATCGTCCTCATCGTCACGATCATCGACAATGTCCACCTCATCGATGCGATCCTCCACATCAAAGCCCTGCGTGCCGGTGCTGTTGGTGCTCTTGTATTTGATGCGACGCAAAACGACACTGCCAGCACCGACACTGACGCCAACGCTGCTCAATTCGAGCGCTGAGGCGGCGCGTGTGCGTCCACCTCTGGCGGCAGCTGCCACCTGTAGCTGTTCATTGCCGCTGCTGCTGCCCAGCGATTCGCTGCTGCTGTTCGATTGGGCGCCACCCGCGCCGCCGGAGGCGCGCTCACCGACACGCTGCTCGATGCCGCTGTCCTGGCTGAGCAGCAGCTGCTGCTGTTGCTGCTGCTGCTGCAGCAGTTGGCGCTGCTGCTGCTGCTGTTGCTGCTGGCGTTGCCATTTGGGCAGCGGGCCGTGCAGGCTGAGTGAGCCGCTGCTGCTGCGCACCGGCAGCTGTTGCAGCTGTAGCAGCGTCGCCTGCGAGCCGCTGCAGAGCTGCTTCTGTGAGGCGCTCGTCACGATGACCCCGCTGTCCGCTGACCCGGTTGATGTTTGCGTTAAGAACCTTTCGTTCAATGGAATTTTGATCGGTGCACTTATGATGTTGTTGCTGTTGCTGTTGTTGTTGTTGTTGTTGCTGCTGTTGCTGCTGCTGCTGCTGATGACGGGAGCCGCATTGGCGGGCGGCGCTGCTGCTGCGGCTTTTGTTGCTGTTGTTGCCATCAGGTTTTCAATGTCTGCAGTTATATTTGCTGATTGTTTTGCCTTTGTTAATCTAAATTAACCACGAAGTCTTTCTCACTATTTGTGTATGTTGATATTTATTTTATTATATGCTTTGTTTTGCTTATGTTCTCTTTCACATTCAATCACTTTCTTCTTTGCACTGTCAACTTTGTTGCATCAGAGTCACATTGCCTGCTCAATAGAATGCATTTCAAATATAAATAAATATTTCTTATTTTGTATTTTTATTGTTGTTTTGTTTTTACTGCTGTTGCTTTATATAAACAAACAAAAAAAAAAAAAAAACAAAAAAAAAATTATTTTCGCATTTCCCATTTATTTTCGTGTACTTCTCATTTTAGTTTGCTGCTATTTTTGGCAACACACGAAGAAGCATACATAAAAATCAAAACAAAATAAAAAACTGAAGAAAAATATATATAAAATATATTTTCTTTCAAGACGACTTTCGTTCGCCTGCGTCACGCAATAAAAACAAAACACATAAAAACACACACACGCACACATACGCACGTGAAGAAAATCAAATTATTTTCCAAAGGAATTTCAAAAAAGTAGAAATATAACTGCGCTTGCTCAGCTCAGCAGAGCACTTGGTAAATTTTCTATAGTTGCTTTTCTTATTGTTAATGCAAATGTTAAGAGAGAATCGTATCTCACACACATGTGCGGGCGCTCTTGAGGTCGCGATTGAACTGAAACTGAAACAGAAACTGAAATTGAATTTCCAAATTATCAACAGCGACGACAGCAGAAGCGTCGCTGCTGGCGCCGCCTGACGCACATAAAACAAAAAAAAACACACACACATACACATACGCGTCAACGCAACGAGCGGCAATGAAACAGCAGACAAGAGAGCAGCACCACAATATCAAGAGAGAGCGGGCGAACGAGCGTACAAAGCACAAAAGCACAGCACACAGAGCAAAAGCGAAAGTCATTAACTATTGCGAGCGAACAGCGGCGTGCGTCGTTCAAGTGGAATTCGGAATGAAACACTGTGCATACTACTTGCGCTGCTTGCTAGTTGCTTGGCTGGCTTCTTTTCTTTTACTGCAGCCTTCAAATGGGGCGTGGCAGTGGGAAATTCAGACACGCACACACACACACATACAAACAGTTCTGCTTCTAATCTTATCACGGCACGACTCCAAAATTCTGAGCTAATCAGAGTATGAAGAGCTGAGAATTCTGTGAGATTTGGCCGTCTGCTCTTCGTTTCAGCTGCTTCGCTTCGCTTCTACTTGCGTCTAACTGTGATAATTTGCAATTGCAGCGTACGAAATTTATCAGAAGTGTAAAGCGGAGGTGTTAAATCAAACAGAGTGGCGACTGGGTGACTGGGCGAACGGGCGACTGGGTGAGCAGAATCGGAGCAGGCGAAAAACAAATGGGAAATGGAACAGCGCACAGTAAACACGGGCGGGAAGGCTAAGCGCGATTAGGCTCTTAACGGGCGATGGGGTTTGGGGTTGAACTTATTAAATATGTACATATAGTAAAAAAAAAAAAAACAAAAAAAAAAACACACTCGATTATAAGAACAACAAAAGCAACAACGGTAGCAATAACAAAAGGTATTGCCATAAGGCAATTTTTAGTTGCTCGTTGTTGCTCAAGTGCAAACAGTGGAAAATTTTCGAGTTGCCTTCGTGATGGCGGCAACTTGTTGTTGTTGTTGTTGTTGTTGTTGTTCTTGGATTGTGTCCATTTCCAATGAACTGAACTGGGGCTTAGCACGCAAAAACTGTTGACAAAGGACACTGGACAAAGGACACTGGACAAAGGACAGCGAACAGTGTACACAGCAAGTGGGCGAAGCCCCCGCCTTAGACTTGGCTTGGTCAATGGCGCATTAGCGCAAATTAGAGGAGTGTACGAAACGAAGTGGAATAAAACGAAACATCCGAACCATCAAAATATGGAGAACATGCGCGCCTATGTTATATTGTCATAACCTTAAAAACAAACAAAGTCTGGGGTACAGGCCAAAGGGTGATAGGTGATATACAGTTTGTATGCTTATGTAAGCAAATATGCTCAAATGACATTTGAAATACGCACAAAGCCGTTCGGTTTTCCAGTTAAAATCGAAGACAACTTTTCTCTTTGCTAACTGCTTACACAATAGATTCAACCTTATATTGATTAAAACAATAACTTTAGTTCAATAATTGAGTTCACTACGTATCGCTGCTCGCCTTTCTCGCTCAACTATTAAAGGTCATATTTATCACAGTTAGAAACTGGTTAAATTCCAACTTTCTCCGCTAGAGCTGGTGCTCCAGATCATTTTTTGGACGAGCTTTTTCCCAGACCACTTGACCACCTGACCACCTGACCAGCTGACCAGCTGACCAGCTGGCCTGTCTGACTATTTGACATTTGACGTTAATTGCCAAATGTTTCGTGTAACGTCGCATGTTTCTTCTTCTACCATTTTCTTTTGTTAAACGTGTTGTTGGTGCCCCAACAAGTGCGCATTTTGTATCGAGTTGACATTGAGCGAACCATTAACCCACCCAAAACACAAGTACGTAACACAATGGTATCCCTCAACTGCAGACGTCAACCCCATATCGCTTTTTATTTATTAAACATAAATTAACGTAAGCAACGACGACAATGTTGGCAATGACGACTTTCCTCTTCTTGCCCTGAACAAAAGTACCTACACGTGTGCACAGAGAGCGCCGGTGGGTACAGAACCCCCCCCTAACACACACACACACACACACACAAACACCATCTATAAAAATCTACTAAAATTTACATGGCAAATGAGTTGAGCCATTGTTGTTGTTGTTGCTGCTCCTGTGGTAAGGTTAAACTCTTGGCTTGTTGTTTCTGCCGGACTTGAACTTGCATGTCGATAATTCTACGGCACGTCAGCTTTTAAATCGCCGTGTGTAGGGCACACAACTTGTTATATGCACAGGTAGAGCGCGAGAGAGAGAGGGAGAGCTAGAGGGAGTAGTTGCCGAGTATAAAAATAGAATCGAAATCGGGCAAGGGTTGTGCACAGCTGGGGTTGTTCTTGTTCTTTCACCCATTTCGCCCATGCATATTGATTCTTGAGAAAAGTCGCACACATAAGCCAAGATATGGCTTATATAAGTGCTAACTGAATGCAGACGTAAGTAAGTTGCCGCGTAATGCCATATTATATATGCATATATATATATATATGTCTATATAGATATAGATATGATGAATCAGTAGCAACTTTTTAGTACAGTCCTCTAGCACACCTCCCCCCCCACTTTAGGGTTAGTTCGTTTGATTGATTCTGGCGCAGCAGGTCTGGTTTGACAACCAGTTTGTGTTCTGGTGCGTGTTATTATCTCTATACGGTCACACTGCTAGAAAGTCCAATTAGCTGGTCAGTTCAGCAGGTGCTCAGGTGTGGCGATCGCCCTGTCAATGGGTAATTGCCATTAAATACCCGACACGCCCCCTTCAGCTGCAATTATTGATATTGACAGCTCTTGTTCTTATTGTTGATTATTATTATTATTATTATTATTATTATTGTCTTTATTCGGTCATTAGGCGATACGAGTAAAATGTACGATAACGGAAGTTTACATTCGACAGTCCATGCCCCTGCCCTGCCCTGGCCTGCCCGCCCCCAGCTTCGTTCGTTTGCCTCTTCCTCAGCTGCTTCTTCTTGTTATTTTCGAGTCTTTGGCAAATACTTGAAGACCCCGAACCATTAATACGACTAAAATCTCTTGAGGCGTTCTCGTGTGCTTCCAATTGTTGTTTCACAAATGAAATGCAAATATTTCTTGCCATTTGGTTTTTTTTTCTTTTTTTGTACTTTTACTTGCTTCCTCTTATGCGCTCTTCTCCACTGTACTTTTATTTTATATTGTTTTGTTGCAATATTAGCACCTTTTACTTTCCATTGTTTCTCGCTCTCGCACGACTTCCAAGTTTGCCCAGCAGATGGCGCTTCGGTGCTGTGCGTAACATACGCGTTCGCTGAGCTATTTTTACAATACTGCACAGACCAGACCAGAACAGACCCGACTATATACATAGCTGGTTTAAGTACTGCATTAGTCGAACCATGATCAATGCGGCCTTGACCCCCCAGTGAAAAAAAAAACTGAAGGAAAGTGATCGACAACCAGGAGATTTACTCTAGACAGATCCGTTTTTTTTTTTTTTTGTGGCACATCTTCCAATCAGCAATATATTTATTTCTAAATTTGAAGAAACTGCAGTCCGATTCATCAGATGCAAACAAATTGGAATAGAGACCTCTCGAAGATGGTAAGGAAAGTGGGCGTGGTTTGGCGTCATAGACATGCGGCAGATGATATGCTTACTAATATGTTAGGCAGCCCGATTTTTATTGTTAGCTAGCGGAGTTACCGTCGAAACACAAACGGATTGGATGCCAATTCAGGGCAGCTCGAAACACAAAGGCAACGCATGGACATGGACACAAAGGATATTTGATAGCTTTGTGCTAAGTAATTGGTTTTAACAGCACAGCAAACCGGACCAAACCAGAGTTGACTAGACACTTCGATAATCAGGGCAGGGCAACAACATGCGTCGCTTTATATGTTGTTGCATGCAAACTCTGTTGATAAGCCAGTCATATACCACACAGAAACATACATATATATGAAGATACACACACACACACACACACACACACACACACACGCGCGCGTCTAGACACCTCTTTGAGTTCGAATATTGAGTAAGGTTTCAGCAATTTGAACAGAAAATCAAAGCTGATGATAAAAATGTGAATTATCTTACAAAACATGAAAGTACTCAAAAGTAATAAAAAGTTTTCGAATAATCTAGATGATTTAATACTCTGTATTCCATTTAGAATAGAAATTATTATCGATCAGCTTTAAACTGGACCATCTCTTCATGCCTAATGCTCCGTTGTGAAGCATCTCGGTTCTGCTCAATTGGGAAATCTAACACAGGTCTGTGCAGTAAGCATTAATATGCCAACTAATCGCAGGCGAAAACTTGAGCAAGGTTAAACACAAAATAATTGCATTGTCTTGTGCTATTTATATGACCCTAGCTGTATATACAGGCAGGCATATATTTTATATGTGAACGTATGTGGAACGCAAATCGATAAAGACACAATGAGTTGACACAATAATGTGACAAAGCAAAGCAAA